GAAAAAGGTCTTAATCCCTCCTTCCTGTTAGTTATCCACTATTCATCCATCTGGTTGCCAACTATTAAATATGGTTTGTATCCAGTTATGCTCGTTTTGATATAAAATAGGAAGAAAATTGTTTTCCACTTCATTTTTAATAACAATTTCAAATGCTGTTTCCCAAGATAAGAACTTTTTTTTCAATCCCTTCTGCTATTGCCAAGTATCGTAAAATAAACCGTCTTCAGTACTCTTCTGGTCAGTAAACAGATTAAAAAAAACAAGGAAATTCCTCAAGAGAAGCCACAGATTTAAGATTGCAAGGAACGACTGCATGTAAGGAGGGGGCTTGGGGGCTTACTGTGCTTATCTGTATCTTCGCTGTCATCCAGACGTTAACCTTTGACCCAGAAGCCTGCCTCTCTCAAAAAGGCTTGCAGTGTTTGCCCATTATGTAATGTCTGTACTTTTGTGGAAATTTTACAGAAACAAATGGAGGAAGTTTGCCAGTCAAGCTAGTGGATAATAAATCCTGTGCTCTATAGATACAGACCCGTCTGCCCTCACCTTAAATCCGCTACTTACATGCTCAATGGAAAATATGTTTCAGACAGTAAATTTTTAAAAGTCAGAAAAACAAAGCCCCAAACACACTGCATTAGTAATATATGCTGCAAAATAAAGAAAACACATTTCACTTCCTTTTTTTGGGGGGGGGGTGCCACTTCATTCGCTAGAAGTTTAATATGCTGAATAAAATGGAGGAAGTCAAGTCTTCCATTTGGAAGTTGGTCAGTATCATTATTTTTCAAAAGGGAAACCTTTGGGGCTTAATAAGATGTAACACCAAGTGGATGAAAGTGTAAAACGATTCTGAGGTAGTTCATCTTCTTGTGGTTTTTTTTTTCCCCCTCCAACCATCACCATTGTGGGGACATCAAGGATTGTGCTGCTGTTGTTAAAAACAGTGTAGGTTACTATAAGATCCTGATATTTGCTATGATTTTCCCCTTTCAGCTGGGTAGGGAGCGGTAGGGGAATCACATCCCTGAGAAGAGGTGGGGGCCAAAACAAGGAGGTGTGATGGAAGGCGTGAGCGGGGAGGATTCTGGAATGGAGCTTCAAGGTCACAGGGAGGGGGAGGAGAGGTTCCAGGGAAGCACCTCCTCAGCCCCCAGCTGGAGTGTGGGAAAGTCAAGAGAAGGAGACTGGCCCCTCCCTGAGGGCATGATGGTCATAGGTGCTATCGTTGGGGGATTACAGTTAGTCTGGCGAGATTCTGTCTATTAGGTGCAAGCTAATAAAGAAGCTGAGCTGATTTCTGGACTGTCTCATGGTGGTTCTTGGGCTGAGCCTGACATCAAGGAGGTAGGGCTGTAACAGGCCCGTGGTATTTTCCATTTTCACCCTGGGGTTGGGGGTAACTCAAACATGTTTTTCTTCTGTTTTTACCTATATTGAGTCTATTTTAGGGTGAGGCTTTTTTATGGCTTTCTGCTTCCAAATAGTGGGAAGGTGTACCTGTTTCCCAGCAATTATGGTTGGAGGAAAGTTGGTTGTCTACCCCAGAACTAGACTCAGTGTACTACAGGAAGCATTTTGGAAGGGACCTGAATTTGCAAACCTTTATGCATTTGAGACATTATGGAGAAAAGAGTTAAAATGGTATTTGAAAATGAGAATGAAAGCTACAGTTAGAACATTTTTTCTTTCCTCTTTTGTTTATACATTAAAACACTGGTCTTCAAACAGAGGTAAACAGCATTATTACTAGTGAAGTTCTCAGTAGGCAAAAGCACAAATCCAAGACTACGTCAGGTGTTCAAGAACTAGCTTTTATAAAGAAAGATGCTTTTTGCTGTTTTCTATGCTCTAGATACCTCTAACATTCTCATATCTTGTTATGTTATACCTGGTATGACTATGGTATGATTATGGTGTTTCCTTTCCCAGGGTAAAATCAATCAACTAATCAATCAGTCATTATAACGCCACTACTCTCTAAGGCAGGTGCTATCATCATTAGAATTAATAAAAATTATAATACATTATTGTGATTTATCATTAACCATAAGATATACATCCAATTTCAACATATATGCATTATTTATTATTTCAATGTATACTTATTTTTTTACCCATAAGGCACTCAAAGTAGTTAACAATGCAAAAAGAAAAAAGGAAATGGGTTAAAAAACAGACTTAATGCCTTTCCTGAAAGTAGAGAGGCAACTAAATGCCACTTCTGAGAGAGTGTTCCCAATTACTTGAGAGTAAGGCAGTAGGATGCCCTATTTTAATATCCATTCCCTAGGAACTCTTTTAATATCAATGTTGATTACTACATATTGCACACACAGTATCTGCCTGGTAACTTTTGAAAATGTAAAATCTGAATAAAGAAATTGACTAGCCAAACCAAGTCCTTAAATGCTGAGAAAATCCTAATTAGCGATGTTGCTATTGATACAGATTATTTATTCAGTACCAACAAATAGAGTCCACCCAAAAACACACACACACACACACACATTTTAATGTCTTCTGGCTGAATACTGAATGATATAATATGAGCCACCATGTTTCCTTTTCTACTTGCTGAGACTTCCTATGTACCTTGAAGCCTACGCTTATTCTGCTGAAACTCTCCCATTCACAACAACATACCCAAGACTTTGCTTGAGGCCACACTCCTTCTAAATGGTGTTTTACTTTCTGAGTCTGATGGAAGCCGGACTGGGCACTTAGTCTTGTTATAATTAGGTTTTCTAAATCTCATTTCCTTTTTAGAGGAGAGAAAACATATTGTTGTGAGTAAGGTCCGGACGTGGTAACAAGTCCCTGGCAGGTTAGCTTGTTCTAGGAAACACATCATTTTAAAGGAAACGTTTACCTTCTCTTCTGCCCTTCATCATGGATTTTATTGCAATTACAGCAATGAGACAGAAACTAATGCCAAAGGTAACACACACACACACACACACACTTTTAATGAGTTGGTTAACACAAACTTCCTGGAAAAGAGGAATAAATTCATTTGCTGAACATTTCTGAACCATACCTAATGGGTTATTGAAGGGCAAGGGGATATAATGTTTGTTCCTATTTTATTTCATTGCACACTCACAGAATGGTAAAGCCAAGTTAAAATAGCCAAGATTGCTGACCAAGATATTGTCAGTTACTGCTAATCTGAAGCAGATGGTACAGGACATGCCACTTCCTAGATTACTTACCTATACAGGAAGCCTAGGAGTTTGTTACTATATAAAACCCTTTTTTGCTCACAGTCTTAATGTTTGCGGGCATTTCCTTTGAACTCAGTCAACCACAATGATTCATTTCCAAGGAAGGCAACTCATTGAAATCAATGGATACTTAATTTTATTTAAAGGCTGCTAGTAAAGTCCAGCCAAATAAAACCAGTCACTCTCAATAGGGTTTAATTACATTAAAAAAAAAAAAAATTGGAAGCTGCCAGAGGATCAAATCTCCAAGAGCTCATTCACTGTATTGCATGATCTATGTTTCCTGTGCTTCCTTCCAGAGAGGAGCCTGGCAGTGGCCCATTCAGTTGTCAAAGAACAAATATAATGGTCCCACCGTGCTAAGCTTCAAAACTGTAATGCTTACAAAATGATACCATATTATCCAAAAGAATGATGTACCAGAATGTAAGATGAAACTTCTCCCACTCATTCACTTCACCTCTAAAGATGACATGGAACAAACCTATTTGCCTCAGTTATGTCCTCAATAGCTCTTGACAACCACAGATTTTATCCATGCAGACATAGGTGCCCAGAACCTTTATTCTGCAGTTTAGTAGATTGACACATATAATTAGATATCTCATCCACTAATATGTTGGGGATTTCTCTCTGGCTAAAGAACCTATTCATCACAAATTTCTCAAATTCTTTGAAGAATTCTTCAGAAGCCACCGAGATGGTTTGAATCAAGACGCAAAATAGTCATAGTTACACTGTAGGATGGACAGAATGTGATTTCTCAATTTTTTCTGGTCTTTTCTTTTGAAGGAGATGGTTCCAGTTAAGCATTATTTTAAGGCTTACCACTTAATTATCATATGTTTCCACTTCAAAATAGTGGGAACAGCACCATCAGTTTTCAGGAATTGCACCTCTGAAATACAGCAGCAGGAAGGGTGGCTCTAGAGTTATAAAAAAAGGCCCCAAAAGGCTTGAGATTTTAAAACAGAATGGAAAAATTAGCATTATCAAGGAACTATGGACTACATCTAAAAAACTGCTGGTGTTTGGAGATGTTTGCTTTTGTAAATGTTCCAAGTTGCACTTCTGATTAATTTCCTGCCAATGATGGAAGGCTCTGATTTAGAAGAGGTTTTTATCAGCAGAATTGAGAAAGAGATGCTTCTCAGCAGTTCCATTCTACTTTTTTCCAAGCCTCAACCACTGTTCCCTCTTAACTTGCTTTATAAGGGCAGGGACCCTCTGCAGCAATAGGGAAGGTGGCACAGAGAAGTGCTGGGGTTTGCAGAAAATAACCTTCCAATTTAGCTCTCAGAGATATGTATATACAATGAGAGGAGAGATACATTTCAAGAAATATTTTACTTCAAAGGAAGATATGTGGGAAAAAGTTGCACATCCCAGGCTTACAGGCTGTAAAAACTGTACAAGCCCCAAATATTGCAGATAATTTAATATATTATAAACCACCAAGAGGCCTCAGTAATGGTATAAACAAATTGGATAAATAAATAAACAGCAACTTTTCTTCCACCTATCCATTTTTGTTGGGGAAAAAAGGCATTTTTATTTCAGCTTATTTCCATACTGCTTGAAACCCAAGAGACAAATTTACCACTACCACTCAAACTTTTAAAAATATTTTCCCCAAATTATTACCAAAACACATTCCAAAAATATTTTTAAAATGACAGCTGTCTTTTACAAGGACCAATCCATCAAAACAGTATGTTAGACAAGATCATTTAGAAGAAAGATCAGGTCTCATGTGTCGGTTCTACTCACCAATACAATCCATGTTAAGCATGTCTACCGATGTTGTTACTAAAACGTCATTATTCGACTTCTGCCTGTGCAATGCATAGCGCACCAGGAAGCTTTTGGCTTTTTCTGGTAAAAGACTTAGCAAGTACGCAGGCATGTACAGAATATAACGGAGCTGGCAGAGCAGGGGAGTCAAGAATCTGCCTTGCGGGGAGTGCGCCATGCGTTCTATCGTAGGGAAGAGCAGGATGGTGCGGAGAATCTGAAAAGCCATGAAAAAGAAAAGGACTGAACAAGGCATGGAACAGAGAAAACTTTACATGCAATATGGATTATTGGAGTAGCTCTCCCTTTTCTACACTGCACAATTCCTCTAAGATGAGCTGATGCTTAGGAATCCTATGTATCCTTAGTTGAGAGTAAATACCACTGAATTCAGTAGGATTTCTATTTCAATAGATGTAAATGTAGAGCTAATCAGCCTCTGCCTCCTTACTGGTCTGCAACAAAGGATCTATTTCTGAGGATGCTCCATGCTTGAGGTCCAGTGGATCACTGTAAAATTTGAATTCTTAAGGTCAAACCATTCTTTAAAAAGGAATTTACTATCCTATTTTGCAGAAAAAAATGAATGAAACGTATTTGCATACAATTCATTTCTGTTCTCTTATTAAAATGCGATATAACCCTGTAAATACATTAGCCAAAGTAATGCCTAACAAGTTTTTTTTAAAAAAGCCTTACTGCAAAGGTTTGCTCATGCTACAACTTCTTTTACATATGTAAAGATTCAGGTGCAGCCATTCTGACATGCACACATATACACATATGTCTGTAGAAATATGGACATGCCTATTCTATTAAACAATTTCTCTTCTGTCTCTGACCTAATAACAAAGATTTCAAATTTTGGTCCTTTAATTGCTCATTTTACAGAACAAAACTGCAAAATGTTTTTCATTTATTTAAGTAGTATTTTCCATATTTCATTAGTAAATCCATAATCCTCCCATAAAGGACTTGTATCTCAAAATGGGAATTTTAGGGAAAGGTGGCTAGGGATTCCTTCCAATTCCACTAGCAGGCAAAAACTTCCAAAATATTTAAAAGGGAACCAAAAATAGTAGCACTTCCATTTTTGTTCTACTTCCTGGGAGGGACAAGGCTGTGGGAGGTAATTGATACAAATAGCTATGAGCCAAATTACATGACTTGGGTTCCTCTAAGAATTACTGTGAGCAGAAGTTACTGTTCAACTGACGGCTTAGATTAGATTTTATGCCTCATAGGTCCACACATTATTTAATGAAAATTAATCAGCTTTTTTTCCCCCCTGTCTGTACAGTGGCTAGTTTTCTAATTACTGACTGGCCTAATTTACCTTTTATATATGCTTTCTCTTGGGATTAAGCCAAAAATTAGGGCATGTATCCAAGACATGTGCCTATGTTCAAACTGTTGTGAAAAGGTAGAAATCTTAATAAGACTTAGGAGGAGGTCTGGTTTCCAAATAGGTCTGGTGAGTAGCAGGTTGGGAAAGGATGGGCTAGACCACAAATATTGTCATTCATTCAGGAAATGATGCTCAAAATGCTGGTTCCACTTTCAGAATCATGGACCTTATAATCCAATCAATGCTTCCTTAGTAGAAATGCCATTTATGCCAGATAGTTACCTACTGTAATCTAGTTTCCTTCCCCATTCTCCAAGGTGATCCCCGCCCCCCGCCCCCAGAGATCAGCAATAGGAGACTTTAAACCATAAAGTTTAAGTCAAATGTGAAGAAAGCTACTCCAAGCTTTTTTGGCCATTCAGCTTCAGCTCTTAGAATATTTTACGGTGAGCACACCTCTTTCATCTCAAGAGTTGACAGGCAATTTATGAGACTGATGTTGTAAATTCAAAAAAGAAAAAGAAAAAGAAAAGAATTCAGACCTTAATGATAGAGGAATAAATGAAACACCATAGGAAAAAGATGGTAAGGTTCATATATAGCTGAAGCCACACAAGATATTGTGGCAATAGTGTTTATATTCATATACAAAATATGACCCTTATCACTCTGGAAATCCATGTCCCATTGTGAGCTAAAACTAATCTCCCTCTGCATATGTGTCTGGCTTGTTACCTACCTCTTTTTCTTCATCCAGGACATTTTTTTTTTTTGAGAAATGTTCATGATTTTAAGATATTGCCTATTAAATCTTTCCTATTTTGCCTTCTAATACCCATCCTCTTAAGGGGAAAACTGATAGGTAACATCACAGATTAAGTATGTTGAACTTCCTTCTCCAACTTCTAGCATTTTCAAAAAACTTAGAGAATAATGGCCAGAGGTTTTCTCTGAGACCCCAGACATTATAGAAATATTACTTGCCTAAATTTCATGGTTCCCTGAAACATTGCAGTAAAGGACTGATCCCTCCTAGTCCAACCTTGCCTGTATCACCAACTGATGCTGCATTAGTTTGAGATTCATATATGCGTATCTGTTAGTGAGAAAAGTTATACTCATTTGGAATATCATTAAAAATGGGATATATCCATTCATCTGGAAATAAGGATAATCCTGGAACTATTATTATTGTGTCATTGGCTGCTTTGAAGACAATCATTCAGGTGATACATATGACTCTGCCATATATAATAAGAAAGTCTCTTTATGGGAATCTAAGATTATTAGGTTTGAAACAATGAATGGCTTAAGGAGTTTCCAATGATCTAATGAGGAGGAATTTCTGACAGGAATCAAGAATTATGTTCCAGAATTCCTATTCTTTTGAATATTTCTTGACTATCTCCACTAAAGGTAAATGCATAAAGCAAACTGACCATTTACCTTCCAACAAACTGAACTAGAATTTGAATGTATTAAGTGAGGCCTTGCAAGAGGAACGTATCACTTACTGAGAACAGTTTGTGGTACTTCCTTTATGCTATAATTAATTGACAAGCGTGCAGATGGTTTGGGATTTAGAAATTTTAAAAAAGTTAAATTGCAGGATGCAAAGGTTATTAAATTTAGTAAGCTAATACTTGTCATTGCCTTAAAATTCAGCAAACAAAAGTAAACATTCCCTGAAGATGAACACAATTTCTGAATTTGCATGCAATTTTGTTTTAGGCTTTGCTCTCCAACATCTAACTAACCTTGGCTGATCTCAAAAACTAAAGAGAGTTGGATCTTATTAATATTTCAGTGGAAGACCATCAGGAAGTACTATGGTTGTAGGCTAACTAGATTAGAAATTGGAAAAAGCCTCCTGAAAGAAGGTGATGACAAATTTCTTCCATACTTTACCTTCGCCTGTTCAGGACTTGGATTTCAACCACCATTTTAGAAAGGATGACTCTATTCAACCACTGTTCTATGTCTATTTTTGGAGGGGGGGAGGGCATTCATCTAACATTATATTTCAAGACCTTTGACAGTATGATCCTTCATCTTCTTTAATTAATATTTTTGATTATATCAATCATACTACCAAGATTTCCAAGAAATTTTAAAATTATTTTTCAGGCATCATTCTTGAGGTTGGCAGGAGGTTTTGAGACAATAACAGTTCAGTAGATACGCTGTTCCAGTGGTTCAGTTTTCAAGCATCTGGCCTTATAATTGTGGGTGGGTGGGAGGAAAATGTCCGTAGGCCATGCCATATCACAGTGTAGGGAAGAAATATTTTTGAAAGGATTTCTTCTGTTAGCATAAAAGAGGAGGAGAATTATATCTGAAGAGCTCTGTACACAATCCAACATACACTGTGTTGGTTCTGGATGAAGGAAAAGGCATTCTATGCAAAAAAAATAGCTATCACAGGCCTCTTTTTTTTCCTTTAAGACATCCAACGGCTGAAGTAGAGGAATGAGATCCTGATACCAGATTACATGGCAGGTTCATATCATTATATTAAAGCAGATTCTTTGAAATTCTGTTCTTTGAGACATCATAGTATACAGATGGGAGGACTGGCATGGTATATTTACCGGTGAAAAAAAATCCAGATCCTATTCAAGGAAACACAGGCAAACCCATGTGAAGACTTATCATGTTATGTTTTAGTTTCAGTGTTTTCCACATTTGGATTATTGGTTAGCTTTTTCCAAATATTTGCACTGGGCTATAGAAACATAAATGTAAAACCCACTCAAAACAATAGCTCATAATAAAACCTCAATAACTGAAGCTAGGAACTCTGTGGCAGCACACACTTGGCAATTATTATGGAACAAAATAGAAAATATATTATGTACTGATCATACACTTATCCAATGATATTTTTCTGCTGTGGTTTCTACCTCTTTTTCTATCCTTCCATCACAACAACAGAAATTTTTCACTTCTAGAAAACTTATGATCAAATTATTCATCCCTCTTGCCTCCTTAAACTCTTACACTGGTTCTCTGTACATTACTGAAGGTGAGATCTTGTAATCTTTAGTAATTTACATAGCAACACTTTGTTTCTGTTTTTATTTCCATTCTACAGTAACTGAATATTCCTATTGGTGTTTATGCATATTGTTTACCTTTTTCTCTTTTTTCTTAATTTTTATTTTGTGCAACCTTGTCAAAATGTAGACTGTATTTTTGAAAAGGCCTGTTCATACAACTCTTTAAAACTCTACATGTTTTGTAACCCTTTACAATTTATTTTATACAATGTTCTACGGATCAATAAAATGTGTTCTGGACTTATTGGTTTTACACAACAAAAGACAGATGAAGGAAAACATCAGGCAACAAAGGTTTCTTTCAATGCCAGTTACTTATAAGTAATGCTAGAAAGTGGCTTGACAAAGGAAAACGGGGAGGTAGTTTTAAGCTTGTGAGCAAGCTATTTGTGCTTTAGGGCACTGAAAAGCAACTCTTTCAATGTTTACAAATATAAAATTGAAAATTAAGGTTTTATATCATATTTAAATTTAAATAAGAATTTTAAAATTCTTATTTAAATTTAAA